TTCTGGCAACGGGAGGTCTATGAGCACCTCAACAGGGCGCCGACGAAGGGGAAGAGCAAGAGCAAGGCACCCAAGGTGTGGCAGACTCAGTGGGAGAAGCCCAAGAAGGGGGGAAAAGGATCTTGGTCCTCGGGGCCTACCCATTCCAAGCCGAAGGGCAAGGGCGGCAAAGGGAAGTCCCCCAACACCTCCTCGACCCCATGGCCTGACCACTGAGCTTTCAAGGGTGGCGTACTGCAGGGATCATCACCTTCACAACAAATGCCCTGGATCATGCGGCCGATCCCACAACTGCCCGGTCAGGAAGGATGGGTGGGTGTGTGATGCCCCCCCAGCGAAGCATGTGCCACAGGCATGCCCACACCTCCCCAAGTGACAGGAGGCCACTCAGGGTGCCATAGGCCCCGTGGCTGCCTGGTCTCCGAAGGAATCACAGGCCACCAGTGCGAGAGCGCACACAGCAGGGGAGAGCCAATCCCACCAGAGCCACAGCGGAAGGCAGACGCAGGTGGGAGGGGACTTCTCCAGGGTGCCACCGGCCCCGGAAGCCCCTCCACCGAAGAAAGGGAGTGGACCCAGCCAGGGCACTCCAGAAGGGCGGAAGCACCCTCTTCCCCCGCACCCACCGAGGCAGTGGGAAGAACCCCCAGAGAGACCCAGAGGTGGGGATCCGCCCGGCAAGGGGCGTGGGCAGAACCGTCAGGGCAAGCAGCAAGCCCAGGGCCAGACGACCAGTGGGTCGGACAAAGGACACAGCCCCACCTTCCCCTGGATGCAAGACACCCCGGAAAGACTGAGGCCCTCATCCTGCTGTACGCTGGGAAGGACGACGCGGGAGCCCTGGATGCCTACCTCCATGCCTACAACCCGGCCTTCTCGGAGTACATTTGGGCAGTGGACATTAGGCGAAAGGGTGGCGATCTTGGACAGGACATGCTGGGAGACGAGCCATACTCCACAATGTGCTCCATGGCCATGGCGGGTAAGGTCGCCTTTGTGGGGGGCGGCCCCAACTGCAGAACGTGGAGCATTCTCAGATGGTTCCCCAAACCGGGAGGCCCGCCGCCGGTGAGGGGCAGGGCGGAGCAGACCCTGCGGCTGCCACGCGCCGCAGCGGCTGCCGGGCCTGCACAGGCCTCGCCTCGGCCTCCAGCGCATGTTGGGAGTTCCGTACTTGCAGTAGGTCACGTCCACCCAGGCCAGGCGCTCCATGAACGGGCGGGCCGGCCGAGTTCTCGATGACCCACATCAAGGGGCCAAAGTGCGCAATGATCTTAAGGGCGCTGAGCACCGGGGCTTGGAGGACCTGGAGCCCCGGGTAATGGAGGACACGGACAACGACAGCGTGCTCATGCTCCGACAGATGTACCTGACCTCGCTGGCCTACCAAGGACTAGGTCAACGAACGGTCCCGCAGGTGGCGAGGTGCTCATCGATCTGGGTCACACGGGCCTACATTCAATGGGCGAACGCACTCCACCACTCCCTCATCAAGTTTGACGAGTGCCGCCTGGGCCAGGTGGTAGTGAAGTCCACGACATTGTCAACGGACCTTCCCCTTCACCATGGGACCCGTCCTGGAGGCGCTGAGGCCGGGGGGCACGGTGCCCCAAGTGAACCCAAAGACCCCCCCGAGGCGGCAGAGGGAACCATCTCCCAGCACGCCGGGGGACAACAAGCGCCAGTCCCTGAGGCTGAAGGCCGGCCAACAAGCGTTAGCGGGACTAACCTTGGGCTCACGTCCGGTCTCGGCCTCAGACAATCCTGAGGTCCGGACACCAACGCAGCCGGCGGGCAGGAAGGTCGAACTACAAGGTGAAACTCTTCCCCTTCAGCCATGGGCACGCCATTGCATGGAGATCTCGGATCGGCCCACCACCCTGCCGATCACGCACGACCCAAATCTCTCCGACAAGGTTATGTACCTCCAGATGGCCTTCAAACAGCGCCCCCTCAGGGACGGGGGTGGGAAGCCCTCACTTGGACGGCTGGCCCCGTGGACTCGGCCACTGTCCAAAGCAGCAGCGATGGGGGCCAAGATCTTTGTCCTCACGTCGCCATGGGGGGACAAACTCCAGGAGTCGCTCTCGTTGGGGGACGGGTCACACTCCCGGACCTGGCGCCAGGGGCAGGCCGACCAGCGGAAGGCCAACCCTTCTTCCTGGACATCTTGCACAGCCTGGCGCTGAACATTCAGGACCCCGACCACCAGTTTCCTCGGGATCTGGAACAAGGGGTCCCACTGGGGGTCACGGACCCACCCCTAGCCTCGCCGGGCATCTGGCCACTCAAGAAGGAGCTAAGCGGGGAGGAGCCGAAGTTGCAGGAACTCCCTCATCCCACGGGCCGGGGTAACTACCCCTCAGCGGATCACTTCAGTGAGCTCATCCGTAGCACATTCCTGGAGGAGGTCCCCATGGGCATGGTAGATGGCTGCGATATGGAGGATCTTTGCCCAGGCCCCCTAGCGGGCATCGACGAAGGGGACAAGATCCGCACCATCGGCTCGGTGGGCGGGGCCAATGACACCATCAGGAACCAGACGGTGGAAAGGACGACGGCTCCGACGGTGCTGGATGGGGTGCAAGCTCTTCATTGGCTACATGCGGCAGCTGAGGAGGGACCTCCCTCTCAGGGTGCCCCTGGCCCCGAGAAGGAGGTCGCTAAACCTCCACCCGAGGGCTGGCAATGGCCGGAGCCGGGCGCCAGGTGGGTGCTGCTCAAGGCGGACGTCACCAAGGCCCACCGGAGCTCAGGAAGGACTGGCGGTTTCAGGTGGCCTCACTGGGGGAAGAATGGTGGGTGAACAAGGTAGGCACATACGGCATGGCCAGTGCCCAATCCTACTGGGGACGCCTGGCAGCCAGGGTCCTCTACGCACTTTTCCCTCAAGTGGATTGGAACTTCGTCTTTGTGGATGACTTCCTGTGGCTGCTTCGCAGCGAGGGCAGTAAACTTGGCGGTGGCGCTGTTGGCAACACTCCTGGCCTTGGGCACCCCGCTTAGCTGGAAGAAGACACATTTGGCGGAGGTCAACACGTGGCTGGGGGGCTTCGTGGTCCACCCGAACATCCCGCAGGTTCTCATGGCCGCCAACAAACACATCCTGGTGATGGAGGTCTTGCAGATCATGGTGGAAGGGCAGGCGATGCACTCAAAGGACATCGAGAAGGCCCTGGGCCGCATCCAATGAACTGCTGCATGTCCGCTGGCGAAGTCGATGCTTCAGCCACTGTGGGCCTGGAAAATGGCCACCACCACGGTGGGGAAACCCCCTAAGGTGGTCAGGATGCTGGCGTTCATGCTGCGGTGCCTCTTCAACACGCCCTTCGTCCAGTACTCCCCTTACTTGCCGAAGTCCTCTTGGTGGGGCTGCAGCGATGCTAGCGCCTCGGATGAAGGACTGGCATTTGTGGGAGGCTGGTGCGCCAACAAAATGGAGCCGGAAAAGAAGCAGGTGTACTGGTTCCATGAGCAGATCCACGTGGAGGAGTACCCGTGGGCATTCAAGAATGGGGATCCCAAGCGGAGGATTGCGGCTCTGGAAATGCTGGGCACGCTCCTCCTCTGTAACATGATCCTCACGCACCAAGGCCCTCTGTCCTCCCGGGTCCGACTCCCGGTGGGCAGTGACAATCAGGGCAACGTCATGGCGATGCTCAACCTTGGATCCAAGAAGCCCTACACCGCGGCTATCTTGATGGAGCTGGTCTTCCTGCTCCACACCCATGGCTGCTCGCTGGCGGCCAACCACGTGCCCCGGGAATTCAACCAGTGGGCCGATGAGCTGACGCACCCAGATTTCTCTGGGTTCGACCCTTTGCACAGAGGCCCTAAACAGGAACTCTGCGAGGAGTTCATTTTTCTCCCGCGTCTCCTGAATGGAGATGCATTTGATCTTAGCGTGGGCCCACCCATGCTCCCGTGACCGGAGCCGGTGGGTGACTCACTTCCCCTGGTGGCAGACCCCCCTGTGGCCTGGGTGCCCCGGGCCCCGGCTCAGGGGCGGGCGCTATCAGTCTGCACACCCGTTCTTCAGTTTTTGAGAGTTTGTGTTGGGTGGCCCATGGGGCCCACCCAGCCGTTGACATCTGACAGGGGAAGATGAGTCCCTGGCACCAACACATTGCTTGGATAAAAGAGTTATCGCTTGCTTGTGTGGTGCCGTTTGGTTAGCTTACATACACAGAGGAATATCTTCCCAACTGGTTGGTGATGGTTGGTGGACATAAATCCCCATCTACTTGATGTCCCACATGTATACGTGATATGCGCTGGGGGTTGCTCGTGTGGGCTTTGGGTGACGGCTTTGGCGGGCACTGTTCGCCTGCGTGGGTTTCACGTTACGCCCTCGCCAAGACTCAACCCAGCCTAATTTCAGCTGCAAGACTGAATCAGCCCTCATTGCACCCTCGTGAACTCTATTTTCATCACCCAAGCATGTTCTTGATATTTTTTCAGGTGGCATCCGCACTCCTGCGCACTGACTGCCCGCCAAGCGGACCACGCAATCACACCCACCACAACTCTAGGTCACTGCCAGCAAACGCCAAGCATACTCCCAGAGCAACCATTCCAAGTCGGGCTACCCTGAATATCTTATGCCTTCACACGGCCCCCCGAGGGTGGGATTCTGGGAAGTGCGCCAACGACCGCTGCAAGACTTCTCCTCATCCCCAGTGACATCTTCAAGCAAGAGGGACGTATCCTGATTTGATCCCTTGTTTCTCAGGACCTGACCCTTCAAAGGGGGTTATGCACCCTATGTCCCTTGGGGCGGGCCAAATCTGGGTCGACATTCGCTGGTTTCTCCGAACATATTGAACGGCTGGCTGAATAACACCAACCCGGTCAATACATTTGTCCACTCCCAAAGAGAAACCAACGAGCACTTGGAATGGAACCCCAAAGGGAGTAAGTGATCTCTGATTTTCTGCTTTCCGGGGCTGCCATTTTTGAAAGCTGTTGGAGCGACTTGGGCACAAAGCCCCCGGCTTCAGGAGGACGTGGTGCCGGAGCTACAGCCCGGAGACCTGCTCACGCAGGAGCGCCCAAGCGGAGAGACCTGAGAGAGTGACCGGAGATCGCCGAGCCGAAGTCTTCTGAGTGCTTGGACGAATATGAATATGATCTGTTTCGTGGTTTTCCTAAACCATGTTTAGTGGGATATATGATCTGTTTGATGGTCATCCTATGGGAAAGGAGGAATTTGAGAAGAACTTTCTGTTTTAAGAGTTGGAACCGCTTTCCAAAGTGGTTGAACATGGATCCCCGAATTATGATGTCCAAAGGGTCCCGAAGTAAACTTCAGACCCGTATGAATCCCCAGTTGCACGGTGGTTTCCTTTTTTTGGGGAAGGGTTCTGATTTCCCTAAAGTCAACCAACCGAAGAAAAAAAAGGAAAAGAAAAAAGATGCCGATCCTTTCTGTTCCCATGGTTATGGGGCATCTGAGCAAGGCGCTGTAAACAACATCTAGAAGTCGGGACCGCTGAAAGACGGAACAGAGGAAAACGGAACGCGTTGCTTTGGCGAAGCAATGAGATCCTTCAGGCTTGGGCAGGTTGGTGAGGTATCGTTGCTTTGTTAAAGCATGCATGCCGGCCGTTAACGGCTGCCTTTTTGGTCAAGGCCAAAGTAGCCAGGCAGGCTGGACGTGGTAGGTCCCGTCTTGGCTGTTTGTCTTTTCCTTTTGGTTGGGCTGAGCTAGTGCAACCGGGAGCCGGTCAGGCAGTGCCCTAGACAAGGGCAGCTCAGGAGGTGCCTGGATGCACCAAAGCACTTTGAAAGAGCCATTTCTAGAAGCCGGGGCCTCTCGAACAGAGGCGCGACTAAGCAAATCTTTGCTTTGATCTTGTTCTTGACCTTCTTGGATTGCAAATTGCCTTGGCTCACAATCCATGAGCTATATTCTAAGAATCTGGGTACCATTTTATGACATGGTTTTCAAAATTGAAAGGGAAAGCAACCTTTCAGACAAACCCCCACTGGAAGACGGACTCAAGAGAGATATGACATATGTCCAAGGCTGGAAAATCCAAATGCTCGCTTTTGGAACTCTGTCTTTTGACCTCCCCCATTTGAGTCTGCCAGAGTTTCGAGTGTTGTTTTTGCCCAGAGATGGGCACGAAGCTGTGGGGGCTGCTGCTGATCACGATCGGCAAGTTACAATATATCACTAGGAGATGATGTGCACCCGTATGTGCTACATTATATTGACCCATACAAGAATGCAAGGCATGCTCAACACGCATATATATATATATATATACATATATATATATACATATATATATATATAACTTTGTATGTCTATGTAACATACGTACACATATACATGTACACGTTTGGGTGGCACCTTCAGCAAATGAACGCCATGATTTGCTTCAACTCCCACATCCGGCGTAGGACTTCTGGCGCGGTGCCCTCGCGAAGCTGCGGACCTTTGCCTCATCGGAGCGCTCGGAGGAAGCACAAGTGGAAGAGGCTGGTGGGGGACGGGGTGATGCTTATGCCAGATGATAGTGGTTTCCCTTGTTGTGTTGGTGTCCCACTACGGATTGCGGATTGCGGATGGATCTGGTTCAATGCTTTTGGAAATGGAACGTAGCCCAAACTGTCTGGATCTTGTTCAAAAGAGAATTGAACAATGCACCTGAATTGGGAGATTCTGCAGCCGGTAGTGTGCACCCACCAAGAATAGTGTCTTTTACAGATGCTTTTGAGACGCCCGACACACAAAACCACCAAGGACCCAGCCCCAAGCCCCCCACAATCCCCCCCCGACCACCAGCCCGCAGGTGCCCGCCCGCGCAAATGTCTTCAGGTCTGTGCAGAGGCGCTGTGCCGTGGGCTCACGGTGCTGGAGGACTTGTTGCCGCTGAAAGGCCAGTGTGCGGATCTGGCGCAGGCGGGGTGGGGGGGTGGCCATGTCGGGGAGAGGGTTGGGGGCAGCATCTGCTTATTTTATTTATTTATTTGTTTGTTTATTTACTTATTTGTTTTGTCTATTGATGCACTTCTTCCTTCATTCATTCATGCATTTGTTGATTTTCCTGCACATGTGCACGTTTTCCGTTGCCTACGTGATTTTAGACATATGCAAACATGGAACTTCAATTTGCATGTACCCATTCACTTGAGTGCGTATGCAAGATACGCTTGCATAACAGGAACCCTTGAGTTCCGTGTGTGAGGCACCTGCTTGGCCATGCAATCTTCCAGTTACCGTGATCAGATGGTTGGTTCACTGTCTCGGACCAGTTTACCCTATTGCCATACCCACATGAAGCCCAGTGACACCAAGTTTCCCCAAAATGCTAATCCCTGCAAAGGGATCAAATGCCCGCCCCAGTTTCCAGCATTCTAGTCTGGAGAGGCCAACGCCGTGAGTGGGTGTAATTTACAGCGTAACACTGGCTTCTTTCAGGATGGGAAACAAGCAAGTTTCAGGTCTGTTTGAAAGGAACTCCAGCGCTGCATTTGCTTCTGTTTAGCAATCTATATTCCTCCAAGGATTCCCCTGGTATTCCCTTAGTATCCCCCCAATATTCCCCAAGTATGCCCCCAGTATTCCTCTAGTATTCTCAACACATTCCCCTACTATTGCCCTATTCCTTTTGCTCCCTAGGATTCCCTAAATCTCACTATTCCTCAAGAACCTTCTTGGTGATTGCCTAGCATTCTCCTAGTATTCACCCTAAGTATTTTGCTAGTATTACCCGAGTAGTCCCCTATCATGCCCTGAGTATTCCCCTAGTATTCCCCTTATTATGGCCTCAACATTCCCCTAGTATTTCCTTAGCGATTCCTAGTATTCGCCCTTAGCATTCCCCTAGTAGTCCCCTGTTATGCCCTCAGTATTCACCCGGTATTCCCCTGCCCCTGTAAATGTGGGGTAACCACACTGTTTGCGAATATAAAGCACCTAGTTGCGTCTTTGCAGCATCTGATGCCTGGAGAAGAAGTCTGCGGGGGAAAGGGCCCAAACTGAAAAACCTTTCAACAACAACTCGCGGAAAACAAACAAAACAGAGAAAACGAACCCTAGACAAAGGGTATTGGGAATTTCAAAAAGAATCCCTCTAGACCTTTTTCTCCAGTTTTTGTTATTTCGTTGGCAGGCCTTTTGGGTATCGGGCATGACCAAGACATTTCCCTCAAGACGTTGCGTGTTTTCATGTGTTTGTTCTTTTTTCGAGTGGTTTTGGGCTTTTGGACATGGAAACCCTTGCGGGTTCTCCGCCACATGCGCGTGAGGAAGACCGCTGTTTTCCTCGAACCACGAAAATTGTGTTCGTGCTCACAAGAATCCCCAAAATGCCCCAACATCCCACCAGAGCGTTGGTTTCTGGATTCTGGACCTTGAGCAGGAGTGGCTGCTAAAGTCCATTTGTTCGTTTCTGCTGCCCCAAGCTTCAATATTCAAAGAAACTGGTTTTTGGTGGACCACTCTTGCAATATGGTTAGATTTCAGCCAGGTTTCTCCAAAACGATGTGGTTCAATGCCACAACCACGGAAGCGCACATGCTCGTTTTGGGGCAAGGGGCCGTGCTTCCTTTGTAACGAAACCCAGCGAGCTCCGGGTCTCTCCCATTTCTGGGAGACCAGAGAATTCGTTCGGAAGGCCCGGCTTCAGCTGGGCAATCCCAGTGTCTTTAGATGTTCCTGCAATCCCAAAATAGCAGCACGCCACCTTTGACACAAACCCATGCATCATCCCCCCAAAAGACAGCTTTTGACAAATCCCAGCCCGCGCAGGCAGTATGGTCGCTGGTGATGCAACCCGATAGCCCCGCTTCCGCTTTCGGGCTGACCAGGAGGCCGGAGCCTTGACGTTGAGCTTTGAGTCTCGATGCAAGGATTTCGAAGCCACGTCTGGAGGTACCCTAAATCCGCCATTATCATTTGGCTCAAATGGTCTCCACCATGTACCGGCGGGATTTTCTGGTATATCCTTGAAGGTACACTGTAAAAAGTATTGTACGGATGCGTCTTTTTTGAGGGCAATCATGCGTTTCTTTTGGATGGTGTCCAAAGGAAACGAACAGGAGATCCATTTTTTGTTGGGGTTCCGTGACCCAAGTTCCTTCGAGGGTACTCGATCAGCGCCAGGTTGCCCGGTCCGCTGGCGAAGGGTTTGCTGCGGTGGCTCCACATGGAGCCCGTGAAGAAGGCTCCGGGCAGCGCCCGTTTAAGAGCCGATCTTAGGAACCTTTAGGCGCCTATTAAGCCCAAATACGGCCTTTGGGGCTTATCCCTCCCCCCTCCCCTCCCTCCCCCCAGCCCCCATGATTGATGATTCTGGGGTTAAATCATTCCGTCCAAGCGGGCGTTCTTTCCTGGCGGAAGCACTCCCTCTTGATCCCGGCCATGGTTATTCAGGTTGTCATGTGGGTCAAAATGTTACGCAGGTTTTGGTCCATGTTGCCACTTGCCGGGTTCCATTTTGGGTACCTATTTCTGACCAACAGCCATGTAACGACTTTTGATGATGAACGCCAAAGAAAGTAAACAACTCTTGACATGTCCACATTCAGGACCACCGAAGGACTGGTTTTGGACCACCCAAGGGCATGCTGTTTGGACAGCCCACTGACAAAGTTGTGTTTTTGTGGGTCTGGCAGTGGGGTGTACCAGGACCTCATTTTGCCCACAACCCACTGTGAACTTGGAGGTTTCTGGCTAGCCACGGCTTCCACGCCGCTGATCTCAATCGGTGCGCATAGTCTTTGGCGAGCGATTCCACCCATTTCAATGAAGCTCCCTTAGGTTTGTGGATTATTGCTGAAGGTGTCCGAATCCATGGAGAAGTGTTCCACGTGCCTTTGTTGCCACCCTGATTGTTATAGGTATCAGCCATGTGTATTATCCTGACTCTTGTTTACTGGAGGTGTCTCTCAAGATGTAAACTAGCAATTCAAAATAAGCAATATATATATATACACATACACATCAGTATACATGCATATATATATATATATATAGTTACACACATACATATATTCACATATATATATATATATACAGTTATACAGATACATCTGGTATACAATATATATATATATATATATCATTGTATTGAAGTTTTTCACTCCAGCTGCAGGTGCTTCCACGGAAGCCCATGGAGCCCAAAACCGTGCAGCTGCTGCTTGGCTTCCTGGAGGCGAGCTGATCGTGGGCTGTGGGTTTCGCGGATCTCTGGGGTTTCCTCCTGGTCACAATGTCCCTTTTTGGAATTCTGCAAAAGCTCCTTGAAGAGATGCTTGAGGTGCTGGATTACCTTTTTTGGAATTCAAAAAAAAGCAGGGCTCCTTAAAAGATACAAATGTTTATTCCATTTCAAACATGGCTTTTTCCAGCAAAATAATGGGCAACCGCAATTGACAAGGCAATGTTCAGGTGTAAAATGTAAGGATCCCTGAAAAGTTCCAAAAGATGCTTGAATGGATGCTTGAATGGATGCTTGAATTTTTGGGATTCTCCAAAAGATGGCTTGAAGAGTGGTTGCGAGTGATAACTCTCAGCACTTGGTTGACAGAAAAGCACACTCAACTTGTGAAGGGTATTCCGCCCTGTTTTCTTTTTTGTTGGGTGGGATCCCACTGAAAAAGGCGCCATGCCCCCCCCTTCCTTCGGCCAAAATGGCCGCGCCCTGCAGGACGTGACGGAGCCGGAGCCATGCAGCGAGGAAGACCTGCGCTTGGCGGGGAGCCACGGAACACGCTCCGAAGAAACGAAGCTGCGAGAACCGCCCGGCGCCTCCAAGAACTACTCTTCCTCCATGTAAGACGCGGAATTTGCTGTACACTTCCATGTTGATTGAATGAAAACAACTGTGTACTTCTATGATTGTTTGAGGAAGTGTACTTTTTGACATGCTCCAAGATCCCGATGCGAAAAGCAAGGGTTGGGATGAGCGGGTTTGTGCGCAATGTTTTTTCCCCAACAGCTGAAAGCTTTGGGGTCTCAGCCCAGATAGGCTCCGGGGTGGTCTGGGGCGGCCCTGAGGTAGGGTTCCACAGGGTTCCACCAGGGTTCCACCAGGGTTCCACGAGGTTTTGCGAGGGCTGCAGGGTGGTGCGAGCACTAAACAGAGCACCGCGTGCTGTTGGGGATGTCATCTGAGCTTATTTTTGTTCTTTTCTTTTTTTCCTCGTTGTCACGTTCTTTAAAACTTGTACTTGCGCAGTTCAGATTTATCGAGTTTGGGCTGGACCGGGGTCGTTAAAACTCATAGACCGCTTCAGTTGCACGGACGTAGCTGGTGCTCACAAGGGGCAAGGATTGAAGCGGGGGAAATATCTTGATTGTTTGGATGGTCCTTGCTCATCGGCAAAGTTCTTGGACTTGGCACCCCCTCGTAAAAATCCCCCCCATGTTCCTGTGAAGGCAAACGAGGGCCAAGGGTTGGTGTTGTGTTGCTCAACCACTCAGGAGATGCTGGCCGACATTGAAGGGTCATTTTGTGGCAATGGGGTGGGGAGGAGCATTTTGGACCCCGATAGTGCCGAGCAGTTTGCACGGGCTATGGGACATATCAGGATCCCCTTCCAATGTGTTTCATGCTTGCCAGCGCAAATAGACCTTTCGGTTGATCGAGTTCCCTTTGTCTGCTGGATGCCCGTGGTTGCCGATGTTGATGGTGGGTGATGGCATTCACCGGTCACCCTCAGGGGCGCTTGGAAACACGTGCGTGCAGTGGATGGACAAACTCCTGCACCACTTTGAAACCGTGGGAAACCATTGTGTGTTGGACATTTTCAGGTGGTTTCGTTTTGTCTGGGATACGGGATGGTGAAAGGACCCAGCATGCTGGTTGCATGCTGGGGCTGTGGGGTGGCGGAGTGGCATGGCTCCTCACTCAGGCAGACAATTGGTGAGTGTCCATTGACATGTGTGCAAATTGTTGGTTTGAGCGGCGAGGTCTCTCTCAGCATCCCAGCTGAGACATGAAGTGGAAAAAGAGGGTGTGAGTTGCTGCAGCAAGAAGAAACCTTGGGTTTTGTTTTGACAGTGTTCGCGATCAGGACATCCCCCTTGAAGTGATGAATCGGATGGGACTCCCAGTTTGGCATCCCCAGGTGTTTTCCCCGCAAAAAAAGCGCGTGCTCAACCCCAAAGGGGGATCAACCAGCCCTTCGGTTTACCACAGAAAAATGAGATGCAACCAGAGGCTTCTTTTGTCCCATGGAACAAACGGGGTGGACCAAAAGAGGGCCCCGGGACCCATTGGCGGCCCCATTGGCGTCCAGGTGCAGACCACCAAGTGCACTCCGCAGCCTGGCTTGCGGGAGCTGAGGGTTGAGGGAGTGCCTGGTTGTGGGGGTGGGCGGTGGACACCAAAGGGAAGCCCACTCATTTGGAGATGCCCCCGTGGCTGTGGAAACCAAAAAGGAAGCCTGGCGCGAGGGTTGCATTTGCAGATACTCCCGTTATTTCAGGCTCATGATGTACATGATGAATAGGGGTTGGAAGGGAATGGAGCTGAAAACCCATCAATTTGTTCGTGACACCCCGCGTAAGCTGGTTTTTTGTTTCTCAGAGATACCGTGGAATCCTGCACCACGTGAGAAACCCTGGTTTCTGAGGGTGCAAATATCAACCTTTTCTTTTCCGCGTAGTTCGAAATTGGTGCGACAGGGATTTCGCAACCATCCACAGTTCTAGGGGTACCTTCCCCATTCTTTCCAGGGATCCTTCTTTCTAGAAAACCTCAGGAAACTGAGGGAAAACGGATCCGGTTTTTGGAAAGAACGATGGTTGAAAAGAATGGGAAAGGAATCAACCCCTAGAACAGTTGAAACCATGGGAATCCATTGTTTGTTGGACATGTACAGGGGAATCATCAGAAACCAGGGTTTCTTAGCTGGTGCGATTTCTGGATTTCGCCACCATCCACAGTCTGACCCTGGCAACCCTGGCGGCTTCCGCAGACATCTCTCTCGACGGAACTCGAAGACCGAGGCAGCTCTTGGCTGCGGCGGCGCGCCTGCGAAGGGCGCTGTGCGAGTACGCGCGCAGCGCCTCGGTTTACGCCTCGGTTTGTTGCATTTTGCCGAGGGACGCTAGGACTTTGACTTTTGGCCAACTAATGGGTTTTCCGGTTTTCCATTAAACCACCAGAAGTTGAACTTTTAGCAGGGGAGCAGAAAGCAGCCGAGGGAAGGGGCCTAAGTTGTTTGGATGGCTTCAAGTTAGGACATGGTAGGAATGTCTCGACGTCCGAATTGCTGGGGTCATAACGCACTCATAACTAGAGCCAGTTACTTGGTTGTTCGCTTCGCCAAGTTAGGACGTGGTTAGCCAAATGGGATATACCCAACTGACTGGGTTCTTTCCACAGGAGGCTTGTGAGTGGGTCACAATGTAGGTGACTAGGTCCCCCAGCAGTGCCCTTTTACCCTTTTTTGGCATGAGGGTTCCCCTACTAAACTTCCCCAGAATTAGCTCCCCTTTTTGCTTTTTCGCTTTTTGGAGTTCCCTTTGTTTTCCACGAACCAGGCAAAAAAGATATAAAAAGAATTGCCGGGGTCCGATTTTTCCAGCCTAGTAAAATGGACTACTGAACAGAGCAACTGACTCGAATCGAAGACAAGAAGAGCCCGTGGCTCGGATCCGAACGTGGCGCGGATCGGATCCGCCGATCTGCGAGGTTTGTCAGAAATGCCCCCCGAAGCCCAGGAAAGGTTCACAGGGTGGGCTTCTCGGGTTCTCGCATCGATGGGGCCCTTGAAAGGAAGCCGCTTCCTGAGTTTTCTTTTCTTTTTTGCTCGGTCGGTTAGACTTTTAGTTGCAAGGGAACCCGAATCCACTTGCTAGGGCTTTACTTTGGCGTGTCGGCTTTTGAGGGTGCCCGTTTTGGTTGGTTCCCCAAACAGTGTGTCTACACTAAGGGGTTCTTACGGTAAGAGAAAAGGCCTTGGTGCCAGATTGAGGTGCCCGCTCTGTCCGCGAGCGTTTTGCGTGGTATTGTGCTCTTGCTTGATGTCGAAGTGCGTTTCGACTGCGTAGGCTCGCACAAAGTGAGGTGTCGACTTCTGTCCGCAGGCGTTTTGCGTGGTATGTACCGCAGATTCGTGCTCTTGCTTGATGTCGAAGTGCGTTTCGACTGCGCAGGCTCGCACAAAGTGAGGTGTCGACTTCTGTCCGCGAGCGTTTTGCGTGGTATGTACCGCAGATTCGTGCTCTTGCTTGATGTCGAAGTGCGTTTCGACTGCGCAGGCTCGCACAAAGTGAGGTGTCGACTTCTGTCCGCGAGCGTTTCGCGTGGTATGTACCGCAGATTCGTGCTTTTGCTTGATGTTGAAATGTGTTTCGACTGCGCAGGCTCGCAGAAAGTGAGGTGTCGACTTCTGTCCGCGAGCGTTTCGCGTGGTATACACCGCAGATTCTTGCTTTTGCTTGATGTTGAATGATTAGGCTCGCACAAACTCGATTTCTTTGCTTTTTTGGCGGCTCCAGGGACCGTGGGGGTTTGTCTCGTGGTCCGGCGGCACGGGTTTCCGGCGAAAGGTCCCGGGCTCGATTCCCGCCCTGTCCGCGCGAGCTTGTTTCTTTGGGCATGCTTGGATGGTGCTTCTGTGCTGCGACGGCTTCTCGATGGTAACAACAACCAAACAGCAACAGCAACAGCAACAGCGCCACATTCATAGAAAGAAAGAAATACAGAGACAAAATAACGAGAACCAAGGAAGAAGCTACCTAGCTAGCTAACTCACTAACTCAGGCACCCTGTTGAAACAAACACACAGATCTTGCCTTTTGTAGTGATGCTTGCGCAGCCATGGGCGCAATAATCTTGGCGACGCTGCTGGAAGCCGCGCCTGCCGATGTGCGCGCGGAATTCGAGCATCTCGGGTCATGTATGTTGGGAGACCTTGCGGCTGCGCAGGCGGGTGCTTTGTTGGAAGGTTTATCTTCGGATCGACAGGGCTTATGGACGGCGTGCAAGAACGCAGGGATTAGCCGGAAACAAGGTGGGAGAAGTTTGCAGCAGGAAGAGCTTCGGGCGCTGGCGAAGGACAAGCTTCTCGCCGTGCTGCCGGCGGTTTCATTTCAGGCTCTTCTGGACTACGCCGTGCCTGGCGAGATGGGGAGGGAACTGGAAGAGTACGGAGAGGTCCTCGTGGCGGCGCAGGAAGCGGCCAGAGTGACAGAGCTCCTTCGTGCATTGGGAGCGGGTGCAGATGAGCTCAGGAAAGTGAGCAGTGTGTGGGGGATCGCAATACGAAATGCCAGTGGCAGAACACGCGCAGCGCAAAGTGTGCGCTCCGAGTTGCGCGGCGCCTGCGTTCGATTTCTGAAAGAAACGCCAGTCAGCGACGCTTCGGGTGGGGCGGAGCAGGCATGACTGCGTCTGCGGCTGCGCGCGCGGGTGAGGGCATAAGCCCGAGCAGTTCCGGCGCGTTGGTGGAGCAAAGCGTGCAGGTTACCTTGGCGATGCTGCTGGAAGCCGCGCCTGCCGATGTGCGCGCGGAATTCGAGCATCTCGGGTCATGTGTCTTGGGAGACCTTGCGGCTGCGCAGGCGGGTGCTTTGTTGGAAGGTTTATCTTCGGATCGACAGGGCTTATGGACGGCGTGCAAGAACGCAGGGATTAGCCGGAAACAAGGTGGGAGAAGTTTGCAGCAGGAAGAGCTTCGGGCGCTGGCGAAGGACAAGCTTCTCGCCGTGCTGCCGGCGGTTTCATTTCAGGCTCTTCTGGACTACGCCGTGCCTGGCGAGACTACGCCGTGCCTGGCAAATTTTATCGTGGCAACACGGCTGTGGCTGGCAGGGTTCTTGGCGCACGATGTCATTGACGTGCGTGTGTCTTGGAATGCGCCCGAGTGGATCAATGCACAAATCCGCCTGCCGACTTTCTTTGACAACTCTTTCCGCTGTGCAGACGAAGCTACCATGCAACAGTGGATCGACCAACATCCGCGCCTTCGCGGCCTGCCGCCCCTCGCAGCGCTGCACCGCATGAACTGCCTCGATAACATGGCGCCAAATGAGTTTGACGCCTTCTTGTGCGCCCTGCGATCTGGGAGCGCGCGCTTTATGTACACGCCTGCTGTGGAAGGGTCCGAGCCAGACAGCCCAGTCTTTGGGCTTGCCTTGATAACGCTTCTGTGCTGCGAGAGCTTGCCACTAGCACTCTGCGTGCGCCGCGTCGGCTGTTTGCAGCAACAAGCTACCACGCCTTGACCGCAGCGCCTTTGCATCTACCAACAGACTGGCCTGCTGCGGCTGCGCGCAGTGCCACGCATCTATCCCAGCAGCCCTGTCCTGCGATTCTGCCGTCTCACCGATATGTGCTGCTCATGGACGAAAAAACGAGCATGCCTGCTGGCCATGCCTGTGCGCCTTTTTTCTTCTTGGTGCTGCATGTGTCTCTACTCCCACACACGTGTCCTCGTCTTTGTGAGTGTGCGCGCAAATACCGCAAAATGATGTTGCAGCTTCCTGACAACAACCGCCGTTTGGCGGCGCTGCCTGCACAATACTCTGCAGCGTGTGACCGTCGCCTATCACTGTTTGGGGTCTCGTGCCGGGGTAATTTTTGAAGGGAACTACAGGGAAAACCGATGCCATTAAGGGGGGCCCAACCTTTTTAAAGATTCACACAGGGATCCGGCGCAGTGTTTTTTTTTCTTCCTCCCTTCCAAGTTAAGTGGACAGGCCAAACAAGAGGACTGTCTTCCAAAACCGGGCTGTGGTGCCCCTTTTTTGGCGCTTTTGGCATGCCGAAATCCGTACCTTACCACTTTCCTTCGTCTGAAAAGGACACGGCTCCCCCCGGTTTCTCGACGGTCACAGGAAAAATGAATGACTGTCACCACATAACCAGTATAGCAAGTCGATCCCAATCTTCCCAGCAACCACGACCGACCTGTGCCCTTGTTGGAACAGCGCAAGCCCGTAGAGTTTGCAGAAGACATGTGAGCAACTACGAAAAGGGTTGGTACAGGGGATATGTATTGCAGACAAAATGAAGGCGGTGGTTTTTAGAGTTTCTTTTTTTTCCCCTCTCTCTCTCTCTTGTTGGGGATTACCCTTGCGGGGTTGGTTTCAAGGGAAGGGAAGCAACCCGTGCTTCCACGTTGGAGAAGGTGCCTTGAGTTTTGCCAAACAGTCAGAAGTAGTGAGGTCTCCTCCAGTTCTCACTTCCTGAGTTGGTGGACTTTAAACTTTTTGGAAAGACCGTTTTAGTGGTAAATAAAAGGTTCAAACTTTTTTTGGCCAGTCAACTTGGGAAGTGAAAATTTGCTACTTGTTTTATATTTCAGGGACTAGAGATATGACACCGAGCCGCAGGTCCTTTTTTTGTCCCGACGGGCGCCACGAAACCCAAGTCGCGGTTCCTCCGCGCCAGACTTTTGCTTCGGGCCCTGGCAAGATTCTCGCAAGAAGCGGGGGGGAACATGGGGTAGCTGTTTTTTTCTGCGAGGGAACAAGGCAACGGGAACTTGGCGGCGCGGCATTGGACGGGTTCCTGTGAAAGTTTTTTCGAAACCACTTAGAGACCTGGATGGGTTGGGCAACCCCACGGAGAACCCTTGGGTTATAAAATGCAACCAAATCCGTTGATCTATACGTGCAAAAACACACACACACACACACACACACACACACACACACACACACACACACACACACACACACACACACACACACACACACACACACACACACACACACACACACAACACACACAACAACAACAACAACAACAACAACAACAACAACAACAACAACAACAACAACAACAACAACAACAACAACAACAACAACACACACACACACACACACACACAACACACACACACACACAACACAACACAACACAACACACACACAACACAACACAACACAACACAACACAACACAACACACACACAACACAACACAACACAACACAACACACACACAACACAACACAACACAACACAACACAACACAACACAACACACACAACAACACAACACAACACAACACAACACAACACAACACAACACAACACCACAACACAACACAACACAACACAACACAACACAACAACACAACACAACACAACACAACAACAACACAACACAACACAACACAACAACACACACAACAACACAACACAACACACAACACAACACAACACAACACACCACACCACACCACAACGCAACACCACACAACACACCACA